GACAAACAACATTCCATTGAAAACATTGAAGATCACCTTTGTTTCAGAAAAGGTTGTGTAAATCCTGGGAATATATTTATATTATAATTTTGCTTATCGAAGGTAATACTACTTTTCCTCTTTCATTTTTCTCTGTATCTGTCGTATACGAAAACGATACGAAAGAAATTCGTCTTGAATCTTTCATTCGAAATGTTAAATTCATTATAGATCCATTTTTACAAGAAAACGTTAAATAACTCCGTGAACACCCTATGCAGAGTATTCTATTTTAATTAATAAATGCTTCTATCTCCGAAACTTTTTGTTACTTCAAAAAAATGTTTCATATGAAACTCTGTTCGAAAGAGGAAATAATTCAGTACAATTAGTTTCACAATATTGAAATTAAAATGTCTTCGAAGTTAATGATTTTTCTGCATAAATGGGTTACTTTTTTTTATAGAGAATTCTGAAATCTATATAATAGTATATAAAAGGTTAAGAAATCAAAGCAGAAATCAAAGCAGCATACAACCTTTCCTTTATTCAACGCTTACATACTTTAAACTTTATCTACGGTTGCATTTGTTTCAGTAAATGTTTAGAAACTGATGATTTTTTGGTATAAATAGGTTAACACTTTTCTATAGAGAATATTGAAATAGAATAGTCTATAAAAAGTAAATATCCATATTTCATTCTCGAAACAGAATGAATTTCGTATGAAAGATTATTTGAAATAACAAATATTTTCGGGAATAAAGCTATTTATCGATTGCAATAGGACACCCTGTATAGCACACACTCAATCCCGTTCGCCAGAGAACGGTGACGTAAAGGTCGATTTTTTCTTTTTATCAGAAGCAGATGCCCAAAAATGGCTGAAAGTGACACCGGCCGAGAAACAAAATGGTAGCAAGGTCAGGCCGGCAAATCCGTGACCGCTTAGCTCATGCGATGTCCTGTACTTTTGAAATAAATGCAGACCTCGGCGACTGTGTTTTAAAACGGTCGATTACGAAACCCGAAACCTGTTTGCAATCACCATCAATGAGAACACGAGTCTTCCGCCATGATGTTCCCACTCTGTTTCCGAAGCTCTCTTAAATTCGATGGATCACCTTTGAACTTATTCATGTATTTATAGTATCGAGAGCGAAAAATACGTTTATTCGGAGGGCGAGTGTATCAGATCGACTCCGCACGAATTGATTATCGATTATTATTTAACCTTCCGAATCTGGTTCGTTTTGAACAGTAAAACTTAACCAGTTAACTACATTTGGCGAGTATACACGTCATCTTAAAGCTTGAAATGGTACTAATTTTCTCAACGATGAATTATTTATGTTTTCAAATAAACATGTCAGTCTTCTGTGTTTTGCTTTGATTTTTCGTTAAAATATACCCTAGGTGCATTTGTCCTGCGTTTGTCGAGTAAATACACACTTCATTTTTTGATTTTATCGCTAAACGAGAGATTTTTCAAAATAAATTCCACAGTCAACGGATTAAGAGGAGGAATCGCTTTTCTTTAGTTATTTAATAAAATACTCAAATGCCTTTAAATGCATACATGTTACATGCTAGACTCAATTATTATTTGGGAAGAAGGATTATTAGTAGAGTTAATGAAACTCATGTAATTAAAATGACTTATTTATTATGTTTGTGATGTATTTTATTTGTATCTTTCTTTCGATACCAGTCATATGATACGATAAGTAAGATTTATTATTCTGCAACATGCTAAAATCAGCTTCATTCCGTTGATTAAAAGTAACTTTCGACAATTAATTATAGAAGAAAACTTCTTGAAAACACCCCCTTTCTTGCGCCTCTTACATGCATGTTGAGGCATTGTTGACCACTCATGAACGCATTCGTGCTGTTCATGCATCACCTTGAATGATTATCGAAGTGCAGAATTGTGAGGATTGTATTTATAATATTATCTATTTCATTTGGTTGTGTTTGTTCAGTTGGTGCCTGCGTTAATAGCATTTTAGTTGAGATTTAGTGATTTAAATTTAAGTATTTTATAATTCAGTGATAACAATTGTTCCGTCGCGGAACAAAGCAAGCGGTCGAGGCGCGTGACGGCTTGCTATGGGCCTGGTTTATGGCACGGATAAGATTGTTCGAGCGCTAAGGGGCGGTAAGCTAAGCCTGGTCCGTGGTCCATGTGGAGGCCGAATTCGGATTTACCATCCCGTTAGTAAGTGTCCCTGTCATATTCAAAAACAAGAGTCTGAAGCGTACGGTCAGATGACTCAACGGTTGGAATCATGAGACACAAAATCGAGAACCAACGCGAGAAAGTTCAACGTTTGAGACTATTTTCTCGCCATAAAATTCGACAAACGCACCACTCGCACCATTACGTGAAACAAGATGCCCGATTTTAATTAGGCCGGCACCACACAATCGCTCGAAGAAGGACGCGATTATATTCAAAATCGCGGACACTCTTTGACGAAACAGAATAATATCTGCACTGTTAGTTACATTTTGTCAGTACACGTTAGAAGCTAGTTTTAATGCATGTTTATAGTCACATAATAATATAATGTAATTAATTCTTGTTTCTCTCGTTTCTCAGATTCGTTCGATCATATTCAGCTATCTCGAGAAATAAATAATTTTAAAGCCTAGTTTTGTCTGCCTGACTAATCCAGCGTCTATTTCAGTTAAAAGCATACTGAATAAGTACTTAATCCTTCTATCATTTAGCTGTGAGTGACAGTCAGACGACGGTGCGGCAATGAAGTTTCGAGTTTCATTCGTCCAGACCAAAACCGCTTCAAATTTTAAAAAGTTGCGGCGAAGATTTCTTCTCGGACGTGCATAAATTTTCGCTGATTACACACTTATGAGATTGGCATGATTCTGTACGACTCCTAACACAAATTCGCATAGTGTAGACAAAAATTAAATACAGTGAATAGGTTTTTATAAGATTATTTTACCAGAAGTTACATCTTTTATGTATGCATAAGATAACAAGGCAATATATTAAATTCCTATATTGTGAAACGCATCGATAAATTATATTCCATCCAGTTTTACATTGAAACATGAATTTTTAACTATTTTCTGACTTGTTAATTATCGAATAATTTTCTCATCTGACAGTAATTTGTATTTTTAAATACTGAAGATACTGTGCAGCGCATTGGAATTTGAAACTTTCTAATATTTGATACGAACGCTTAAAATAGACGTATTGAAATCGAGAAAAATGCTTGAAATGGTCACAAGTGGTACATCCACCCCATTTGCTCTGTTATTGATCGGCGCGCAAAGAATCATGTCATTTCGTTGTTTTAGCATACGGCGTGTTGTAATTCGATCAGTCGACTTCAGGAAGTTAAGTAACGCAATTAAAGTAAGCATGCTGAATTGCTGATTAATGAAATGTGTGGTCATCGCGTTGCATCAAGCAAGCCAGTTATTTGTACCAATATGTCCAGAACAAGGTAATATTAGATAGCGATCTTTTTTCCTACGATTAAAAAATATTTACAGAATCTTTGTTCATCTTTACCGAAGATTTCTTATCCCTTTGCACTCCGAATTCCAATTATGCTAACATGCTACGTTCGTTACAATTGTTTCTAATTGCTGTTTTGTTTTGGCGTGGAAAAATTCCTTTAAAACCTGGCTGTTAAGTAAAGTGATGCTTACCATAATTTTTTGGATTTCTCAGGTTACGCTGACCGCGCGGACAGACAGTCCTGGCGGTACACGGCTTATAAGCGTTATTACAAATCGTAATTGACACAGCTGTCATGAAGTAATTTGGGAATAATCTTTTTACTAGTAGAAATCAAAGGAAATTTCTTAGCTTCCACTTTAATGTCTACAAATTTGCTTGACTTTCCGGACTGTAAACTCTGTGCCGCAACAAAAATGACTAAACTTTGCTTAGAAGTTAAATCTGGCGTCCTAACTCTTTTAGTTTCCATTTAAATGCGTTTCAAAGAAACTATAGATCCATCTCCCCCGGGATTATACTGCAATAAATAAAATACAAAGAAACGTTGATATTTTCATGCTGTTTCAGGGAACCGTACGATTACAATCCTCTTCTGATCAGCGCGCTGTCCGTGGTGAAGTACAAAAGAGCCCAGATGGACCTGGTGCGCGTTGAAACCAGGAATCAGATCCTCTTCTCATTTTTGTCCGTCGGCTGGGGCCTGCTCGCCGACATTGACATTGAAAGTGAAAGGCTCCGCGCGATCGGTGGCCAAAGATTCACCGTTTGGAGCGTGGCTCGCCTGATAGGATTAAGAACGTATAGGGGCAAAGTGTCTTACTTGCCCTGCGATAAAGTGCCGTCCGCCGATAGTTTGGGCAACGGCAAGGCCTACAACGAATACGTGAAGGAAACTCAGATATCGCACTCGAGGAGCTACGGCGATGATTTGGATAGGTAAACTTCCAAAACCAACTTCGGAATCTTTATTTTGCAACTATTTAAATTGTAAAGCTGTTCTTGCGAAAGATTTTCAATTAAATTTATGTATTTGCACAGATACAAGCCTAGGAGACCTTTCAAATCTTAAGAAACGTATTCTTCTAATTTTGATTAAAAGTCTGAAATACGTCACTCTAATTGCTCTGTAGTTTTAGTGTTAACGATATCCCATAAAAACTTTGTACGGCGATTGGTATACGCGTTCGCAGACGATGACGCAGAATTAGGTATTTTACATTCTACGCTCGTTCATAAGATACCGAAAACTTAAGTTATCAACAGTTTATCTACCGCTTCTGATCCAGGTAACCGCTCACTAACGACTAATATGGTTTTCCTTACCGCTTTGGAGTATATGTTTTCATTTGCAAAACTTTGTAACTTTAAAGTCAAGATATAAGAGAATCTCGTAATGTCGTTACGATTTCTTTTGTTCTAAATCAACGTAATTTTACTAGTTTATCGATTGTTGAATATTTGAAATCGATAAGCCAATTAAATAGGTCTGCGGTAGATAAAGTGCTAAGTGTAAAACCAGAATGAATGAAGATGATAAAATCTTCTAACTGGTGAAGTTTATGAGTTGATAATAATATCTTCTTAATCAGATTTTGTGTTGTATAGAAAATATAAGGCTGATTCTTATTAATACGTAAAACATATTTAAAAATACTGAAAGATACTTACAAAATACTACTTATTTATACTTAAATGAAATTTTGTTTCATACTTTTCTTCGGGTTCAATTTTTTTTTTTAGAAATTCTTTACCAGTTTTCGACGTGTATTCTATGCACGCATTCAGTTAATATCTTCCCGGTTCCGTTACAGTTTGGAATAATTTTATTTGAAGAGTCTAGTATCACTGGTCATCGATTCCACCCGTGGTAGTTAGCGTGTCTATCCTCGGACAACGCGGCGTGCAAATGCCGGGTCACGTCGGAAATTTTCATTCAAAATATTCTGTACACGTTCATCGATATTATAAGTTATAATTCCGGTTGTCACGTGAAAGAAAAAACAGCTTTATCGATACGTCCACGCGATTCGTTCATTTGCTATGAAAACAGTTGAGTAAAAATGACCCTGTATCCTCAGGTGAGGGTTAATTACACTTTTATGAATGGAAATTCTGAAATCCGGGCACGATTTGCGTGTTAAGACTGCTTCAAATAACGTTTTCCTCGACTAAGTATTAGCATGTAACAAAATCATATATATGACGGCTTATAATAATTTCGTAATCGTTGGTAACATTGGATTTTCTTTGTCATAGAAAACACCTTATTTCTTGGTCACGCTATCAATAATCGGCGTAACAACGAAATAATTACTACAATTTTCGTAATATTCATAATGCAAATCACTTTTATTTGTTATTAGAAATAGTCCAAATTATTTATTGTTCGATCGAAAGGAAAGGAATCTAGGGAAAATATTGACTATTTCTTCAATTCGTTACAAGATAAATAAAATGATGAAACAAGAAAATAAATAACTGAAGTTGCGTTTTCTGTTTAGGTGTAGCAAGATCAGCGAATCGAAAAGCTTCCACGACGCCCTCGACGAAGACCCGGCTATCATAGACGATTTCGATAGCTGTGAAGATAGCGATATAATAAGCGAAAGTATCACGCTCGAAACGGAAACGGAGAGACGGCACAGGCTAGATAGCTTTTATTCGGCGACCTCAGCGAGGTCAACTTACTTTAGTACAGCTTCAATTTCTAGTTATCATAGTGTCGTCGAGCCAGACAACGGGGAAGTGGGTAGGTTTCTAACTTTTCATCCAGTTAGAATCTCCATCCCGACAAATTGAAGTTCTCTTCCTATGAAGAAACCTATCTATCTTAGCTAACTTACTTTATAAAGCTTGTTTGCCAATCTTTTATACGGTGTGTTCCATAATGACACCACCCGATACGAATACTAGAACACGTGTCCTCATAATCAGTCGAAATACTCATATACAACATCTGTTGATTATCCATTAAATTGTTTATACAGTAGAGTTTATATAACAAGAAGAAAACGATATCGATGTATTCATCGTATCAAACAAATAAAAAAAAGTTAATAAATCATAAATTATAGTGTAATTAACTAATTATATTATAATTATATTTATATATGCGTGTATATTATAGTTATACTATAATAAGTAAATAAGAAGTTTATTAGGAGGTTTATTGATACTGTATATCTTGTTTAGAATTACACTAGAAGTTCAATTATGAAAGGTTTGAAGAATAAATAGAATAGAAATAGAAATGTAAAAATTCAATACAACACACAAATAATACAATAATTAAAAGAATAATTTTTATGTAAATAAGATGCAGAGAACAACATCAATCAAGTTATGTACGGTCCGTCGTCGAGGTTGCCTGCGTTAACTTCAGAAGTATCAAGTTCCTGGACGCAAGTTCAAGGTAAAAAATTGAATTCTTAATAAAGTGATTTTGTTTATAAACTCATCAAATACTTAGACGGAAATTTAAATATACGATTGTTGATACAATAGAGTGCAGTTAAATGTGTATAACTAACTACACAATAGTGAAGCAATTAAATACTAAAGGTATGGCAGTATAATACTACTTTTTTTACTAAAAGAAAGAAAAAGAAATAAAACAAAATTGATAAAATGGAGCATCTTTACTTGTTTTAAATGGTTTTCTTGTTTTATTTTATATTTAAGTTTGAAGTGGGAGAAATTGCTTGTTCTATTTGAAATACAGGATTATCACGAAAGAATTTCTAACAGACATTATAAAAACAGGAGATGTGCAATAGTTTATCTTTTCTTAAAGTATGTGTACTTGTATACGTAAGTATGTCTTGCACACTGTTACATATTCAACACCTTTATCCGTCCGCGATCTTATTATAGATACGGTATCATAGCTGCATTTGTTTCGTGCTAAGAACCCCGCAAAACGCCAAGGACATTGATACTAGCTTTGCTTACCATGACCCATATTAGGACATGAAATATACTCTTTTTGACATTGTAAAACTGTATCAGGAGAATTCAAATAAAGAGGAAGATACAAAAACAATTTAAAAAATTTAACAATGATCAATTAGTTTAAAATGTAATTTAATATTATCGCCCATTGGATATAAGTAAGTAGCAATTAAGAGTTGTTTGTATTATGTGTTTCAGGAGAGTTTGTTATGGTCCATGCGGCGTATCAGTCACACTTGGGTCAGGATTATTTCTTTGCACCTCGTGCCAAATTGGCGGATGGTATTATTTGGCTCATAATAGTTAAAGCCGGTATTACACGAGTCAATTTACTTCAGGTAAATAGTCTAGTTAAATACAATATTTCCGGCTCCGTAATTTATTTCCAACGCGACTGTTCTGTTAATCACGGAGAATTATACTACAGTTTAATAATAATGAATTGAACAATTTAAAAAATCATTTGATTATTAATATAGACTCTTTTAGCGTAGTATCTAAATAGAAGTAAAATGAATTGGAAGCAGAAACGTAGTTTGAATATTATATATTATAAAGGACGAGTATTGTAGTTTAGCTACTGTAAATAGTTTAACACTTTCACAGTCTATTAGGCAAAACTTTGCAAAAACATTATACAAGTGAGGTTTCTGAAAGATTACGGTATTGCTCCAAATTAACTATTTTATTTTCTTTATACTTCCCTTACTTATCAAATATCAATGGTGAAGTTGATAGCAATCAATCAACAGTGATATATAGACTGCAGATCTTACATAAAATTGAGTGATACACATACATAAGATCTATAGTCTCGTGATATTTCTTTGGTTTTGGTTAATATGTAATCACAAAATTGTCATATAGTATTATAAAAATGTAATCTGTTAACAGAATATCTTGATTTCAATGGACTGTGAAAGAGTTAAAGTAGAACTAAAGCAAATTTCTTATAATTGTAATTACACTTTCCTAAAAAGTACTTGTTATGCCTATTAGTTCCTGTTGGGTTTAAGTAGTGGTACCCATCTAACACGTTCTGGCATCGACATGATACCCGTAAAGGCATTTCGAATAGAACCAGAAGAAGACGTAAATGGTCACATAACTGTGGACGGAGAAAGAGTAGACTATGGACCTTTGCAAGCAGAGATATTTCCGTCTTTAGCGTCGGTAATGTCTCCCTGATATAAATGACAGTCAACTATTTAAGCAACTAGCAATGGAATCAAATGGTACAATCCTAGAACTTTAAGTTCAATTACATGGTAGTATGGTCCAGGCGACAATACTGTATTAATATATTAATATATAATACATTCGGGATTGGTACTTTAATCTAAAGTGACGATAGATGTATATTATAGACTGTCAATATAACATAAATCATTCCATACAATGTATTCAATGTATTTTTAATTTGATGGAATCAATGCAACATAGTTTGTATAAATTTAATGGTTATTTTATGGAATTTTAATATTTATATAATATTATCAATAGTGCTCGTTAACTAGTAAAAATTCTATTCCATTTGTTAGCTTAAGACATTCCTTTTGAACTATTTCACCTACGACGCACAATAGTTAAAATGTTGCCTAGGCTTTAAGCTAGTTATCAAGTGCTATTGTTAATCTTACACCACAAATATCAGCTTGCACATATTCTTCTTTATTAAATAACGAAAAGGGTCATTGGAACTTTGTCAAATTGGTAATTTCACATTTTTTATATTTTTGCGTGTTAGAGATATAGATTGTGTTATAGATTGTATTTCTAATATAATTGTATAATTAACACATCATGGCTTCCAATATTAGCACAGCACAAGGACGAAATATATGAGACAGAAGAATTCTATACAGAATTTACTCTGCGCAAATATACTGATTTTGTAGCTTAAATGCATTTTATGGACTAGAAAGGTATATTATTACCTGGTCCAATGTCAGCGATACAGTATTGATTTTACAGCAATAGTATAATGAAAAAGTCAGTCTGTCGGTACAAGTTAGAATTACTAGCTTCTTGTCTTATGCTCATATTTGAAGTATTTTTTTAGAATACCATTAACTACATTATCTGATGTAAAAACATATCACAATTATTAAAGTAGCATGGGTCATGTTGAAGGTGTCATACCCAATTATGAGCGCATAGATATTACGTAAACAATATTTGTAAATAAAATAATTATGAAACACAAGAGAACTATTTGATATTGTATTAGAAAAAATATTAAAATAATATATATTATGATAAGATAATTATAAAGTTATCTTATATTGTTATTGAATAGCACTTTGATATTGAGAAAAGGAGCATTTTCCTGTGTTCCCTATTTCATGAACATATAAACATAATTTGATAAATATTTTTGTTTAACGTGTACACACGTGCCAAGAGTTGTATAAGAATTAGTATATAATTAGTAACATGATTTTTTAATTATTTTTTTCATGCCAAATTTTATGTTTAGAGCTGTATTTCAAATGTAAATTTTCATTCTTAAATGATTATACTTTCAATAAATTATTCGTAAGTACTGTTACAATACCTTTTGTATTATACTAAACAAAATAATTTATGAATTATTACTATTTCCTTAAAACATAAACAGATAAAAATATTTTTTGTCTTATGAAGTACTGAAAAAATTATTAAATAACTTGATTTAGTATTCTCGGACAATCACAGAAGATGCGACTACTAAATCTGATTTCATAGATATAAAAAACCAAATTGGATTGTTAATAAGAAATATTGTAAATTTTATCTATGTATGAATTTATGTGATGTAAAGGTATTTAATTTACGGCATTGTAAAATAGAATTATTTAATTAAAAGAAAAATATTTAATAGTACACTTTTTTGGAATGTGCTATGTCGCTACTTGAGGTGAAACTTATTTATCGTCCTTAAAACTCAGGTGTGTGTGTATATATATATATATATATAGATATATATACATATATATATGTACTTCTGTTATTCCGCATTTTTTAGCGGAAATAATCGTTGATGTTTTTGAGAATGATTTCTCCGTTAATGTTGACTTTAATAAAAGTTATTAAACAGAATAATAGCTATGAGTGATAATAAATTCAATAATTCATAGTGTAAATAAATTATTCCATAATTCCTAAAAAGTATCTGAAAATTATTCCGTTTCTGTTCAGTTATAAACGTAATGTAAAACTAGATAAGAAAGTCACGTTTTACTAACAGAAATTCGTCCGTTTGTATGTTCCAGTTACAATTAATCTGTATAATGAGTTTACTAAATACTTTCTTGTATAGTGGTACATGAAAAAATACTAAAGTTTCACTTATTGAAGTTTCTAAAGGTGTTTTACTTAAATATATACAGAATGAAGCATGAAAATGAGAATACCTACATGTTTTTACTATTTATGAATGCATAAGAAACCTGTTTAAGGTAAATTTGAACTATTTAAAGAGAAAAACAAATTTTTGTTTTGTCTTGTTGCAGAAAATAAGAAAATAAATTCATGGGTGTTACAAATATACGATTCTAATTAGCTTACCTTAAAATTGTCTTTTTATTTAACAAAATGTAAATATTGAACTATTCTCCTTTACATGTTCCACCCTGGGTATAAACCGTAAGAAAAATGTAATAGAATAAATATTTCAATTTACAATTTATTTATTATTAAGATACAGTACAAGAAAAGTAGTATAATTCTTTATTTCAAACACATTTTCTTTGTTTCAAACACAAGTTAGAGTAATAATTAAATCGTCTATCCTATAATGATTAGACTACAGATGTTTATATAGGTACTGATTTTTGTAAATTAATTTATACTCTACAAAATTCCTCATTTTATGAAGTGTTTGCTCATGTTTCAAATATTAAAACTCAATTGAGGTTTATGAAACATATTGTTATAGCAAGTTTTAGAAAGTTGTGGATGCCATAAATATATTGACATCTGTAATCTAATAATAACTTATGCACTATGGCATATGGTTATGTTAAATATATAGTAACAAGAAATTAAAGGAGATTTAAAAAATATCACAGTATATAAAATCAATGATACCTTTTGATACATTTACTTTGTAGCTTATAATGAAGATACATGTATGTACATATATTTGTGAGTTCCTATCAAAGAAGATACTTCATTTAAAGTTCTGTAAGTACTGCTAACAAAAAATTATTTATGTACAGAAAGTATAAAGTAATTACAGAAGTTATTTACATAACCCCGTTTATGTACGGAGAAACTGTTTATGAATATTAGCTGGTATAGCTTATATTTCTTATCTGTTATTAAAAGTATTGTGAACTTGAATCATATATTGATATAACAAAAATGTTATATTGTATCTAAAATTTTTCATTTGCAAACCTGTACTAAAAAAACTCTATCGCTCCAAATGTTAGACAGTTTACATTAATTTCTGTTGGATTGTTGATGTAAAAGTTTATTTTAATCATAATACAAATCTTCGATTAAATTGTTGGTAAAGTCTAACACATCACGTTCTTCATCTTGCCCGTACCTTTAATAATACACTATACAGCAGAAAACATGTTTGGTGAGGTAAATGTTTACAACTTCAATTTTATACTTTCAAATAGAACACTCGGACAAAAAAAATCTGTAACACTTAGTTATATTAAAAGTTATACAACTTTTTATATATTTATCTGACGTTCGCATCATGACTGCAATTAGAGTGAGAAATATGTATGTTGATACAATAATGATAATGTTTCAAACATAGAATAATTAATATGTCTGACAAAAGTTACATATGTAATAATGAACACTAGGTAATTAAAAAAGTAAATACATGAGTATGTAGGAATAAAAATAGATGAATATATGTGTATGCTATCTTGTTTACACACCGTTAACGTCTATGAAAATAAATGTGTAACACTTATCTCTTTTAGAAATATCTTCATACAATCACATTGACTGTATGAATATGAATTCAATAAATATAGTGTAAAACTCATATACTTTTTTATCAATTTTAATAAAAAGTGATGCTACAAAACAAACTGAAATACAAATGTCTAGCACAAAATCTCGTTTTATAAATATTTAAACACGAAAAAAATATTTTATAAAATTACGTTGAATCCTATAAATTCAATATAATTTGTATTTTTGTTAGCAAATACAAACTAACTTCAAATGCTGATTATATTGTACAATATAAAGATACTTATATAATTTTTTTGAAACTGTGTGAATTCAATTTTGTTATAAATACTTTAGTATCGAATTTATCCTTATCCTAAAATGGAAACCTTTTGTAACTCATAGGAGTGTTATGTTTAAAATATATATTTTCAAGACCAATTAAAACTCTTGAATTTAGCAATTTGAGCGTATAGTATTAACAGCAATGAAAAATCAATGAATTGTTTAGTAAAGAAAATGGTTTGATAATAGGTACAGAAAATGTTTTTCGTCATAATACTATGGATGATGAATAAGTCCACAGTTTCTCAATAATAAAATTAAATTTACATACTTCTGCATTCACAGTATTTCAATATGTCAATCCTAACACTTATAAAAGGGACTTAACTATAATTCTAACATCTCATAGATCAAAATTTTTATGCTGCTCAACTCGCGAATATAAATTAGAAGAGAACTTTCGAATAACTCAGTAAATATCTGAAAAAACAATTTCTTACTTTATAATAATGGAGTTACTCTTTGAGAGTGTAGTATATATGATGATCTCTTCTTTGATTCCGTGTTTTGTTTAATTTGTCAGTAAAACTGGCAATATGATAATTGAAAAAATTAACTTGTTATATTAAGAGCATCTAAATTAGCCAATAGATCTTTCACATCATCTTGAACTTGATTAGCTGTGTTAGATAAAGATAGACGTGAATAAAAAGTACTTAAGGCTTCTACTGTTTCATGAGAACTCTTCTGTTTTTGTAGATACGTTAATAACATATTAACTGTATCATGGATCTCTTGTTTTACTCTTTGCATATCCTCTTCCTTACAATTTTGAAATAATTTTAAATGCGACTGCGCTAATTGCAATGGATTATAACCATCCTTATTTCGTGATATAATTTTTGCTTCTGCTTTCAAAAGAAGTGTTACCACTGATATTTGATGAGCAAGAGAAGCTAAGTGTAATGGAGTGTTACCTACACAATCGCGTTGATTCGGATCTGCACCATACTCTAATAATAACTGTACCATTTCTGTATAGCCACTGTTGAAATAAAAACATATTATTATGTATATTGTATCAACACTTATCATAAATAAATAAAGAGAACATCATATTTTTCAAACATTACGAATGTGATGTTTCAAATACATCATAAAAATATTGAACAATTAACTTTGAAATAAAATAATTTATAATATATATGATTGTTGTGACATCAAATATGAAGAATAAAATATTTCAATTATTGTAATGCATTTGACTTACTATCCAGAAGCAACATGTAAAGCAGTTCGTCCTGTCCCGTCATGAATATTAGGTGAAACTCCAGTGCTTAATAATCTTTTCATCAAGGAGGTATTATTTGTAGCAGCTGCACTTCGCATTTTAGATTTCATTAGTTTACAATAAACATCTGAACCCTTATCAAAAGCATATGTGCCAGACATATGACGATTTCGTGATGCGCACAATGATTTAATTTTTCCATGACAATTAGATTCTTAAAAAGGAAAGAGAAATACATCAATAATATTAATACAGTTATTAATCAGATTAAGATTACATATAATTTAGAATTACATACTGTATTTTAATACATCTGAGTATTCTGATAATCTATCCGCAGGGTACAGGCATGGTAGCTGCAATTCTAAACCCTGTAACTATAAAAGTATAATAATGTATTAAATTATATACATACTAACACACATCTTCTATTGGGATATAATGTAATGTTTAATTTAATATAGAACTCATAAGACAGAGAAAACAGACTTTACAAATTTTTATGAAATTAACAAAATAAATTTCTGCATTGTATACTAATCTAATAGATTAAATAGTTGTTGTTAATAAAAGAAAATAGGACTATTACATTTAAATTTATTCATTTTTGCTAGTCAAAGAAATTAAGGGGGCATTACACTTTCTTGGTTTGGAAAAACTAACTTTTTAGAAAGTATCCTATGGGAAAGTATCATATTTTAATAATATTCTCTGAAGATTTTAAAGGAAAATTCGAAATACTTTCAAAGTTATAGACGATTATAGCAGCAAGTGTAAGGCAGGATAAATCGACCACACTGCATACCGGCTTACCTTCCGACCGTGTTAAATTAATTTATTAATTATTAATTAAATGAATTTAAGAAGAGAAAAAAGAATTTTTGAGAACGAGGCATATGAGTTGAAAAGAATTTTATATGAAGCAGGCATAGCTGATTGAACATAAATAGATTTTATATGTGAAAATTTGTTTGTCAAAACTCTGTAAGTGTTTTTCTCAAAACAATGTTTTTGTAATTGGCGTGCATGATAACTTAAAACCCATTTAATTCTCTAAATCAGTCTGAAATTTTAATATGTTCTTTTACACAACAATAGCCCCAGTATAGACTAGAATAAATAAGACTGATTAATTTTTTCCTCAAGTTTTAATGTTTCTTTTACAAAGAAAATGTTATTTTTGAAACCAATGGAGGTCCACTATTTTGTGAATTTTTGCTCGAACAAAACAATTGTAGTCTATACTGGGGCCAAAATGTAATGTCTCCTTAAGCAACTTTGTATACAATATTACCTACTTATCTTGTAGTTCTATTTTTTTTAAAGTTTAATAGTTCTGTTTAAGATAAAAATAAATGATGAAAATATTATATAAAGGTATAAAAGGATAAGGTATAAAAAATATCTAATAATGGTTTTAAAAACATAGAATAAAAGCATTTTTCTTACCCGATAATATAACTCAGATGCAGAAACACTCATCCTCCTTTTCTATGTTAAATGAAAACATGATAGTATTACAATTTTAACAATAATGTTTAATTATTCTTTAAATAATTAAATCTCTAAAGAATTTTTAAAAGTTTGGAAATAGTTATCTCTTGATAAGTTACAATTTCTTTATTAATATTATAAACTAATTTAAAGCAACGGATACTGTTAGTGATAATAAACAATAAAGATATATGTTTTAGAAAGAATATATTTAAAAAAATATACTTACACTGGGAGAGAATACAAGTGGTCTTACGCTACTCGTCGGCATCGAAATTTCATTAATTCTACCCTCTGTGTAGTTTTTAATCATAGGCAAAAATGAAATCGTCGATGGCAAACCAATTGGTTTTCCCACTTCTTCAATAAAAAAAATATCTGTTCCATTTTCATAGCTAGTTGCTGTCGTCGTCATGGTTGTTGTTGTTGTTGTCATAGTTGAGTTGATAGTACTAACTTGGTTCGACGATAGAGTTTCATGTTGTGCGATCGAACTATCGTTCGAATCGTTGCCCATTTCAACACCAGAATCCACGGATGTCATTATAAATTAAAATGTTCCACAACGTTACCGCAGCACAGCACTTCACTAACTGAATCTGCAGTGAACTACCACTGGATCACTGTGTCCATTTCTGACTAAGAGTTGGGAAACTATGAGTGTGAACACTGCTTACAGTTTGTACTCTTTTAATTCGTAACAAAAGCATGTAGCCCTCTGTGGACATTCTTTGTACTAACCTGATAAATATATTGTTATCTTTTACAATAGTAAGTAGATTATACTCTTCTAACTTATGAATAACTATATGATAGCTATTTACTTAATATATTAAATACATGGAAATTATTTCTTTGGTATATTTGGGAGTCCCACGACCCCTTTATCATATTCGTGTCACGCCCTGTCATATCAACTTAAACTGGTTTTGCATGGCAGCGCTGTAGCTCATATCATTTATAAGCGATAGGAATTAGAATCAAAAATATTGAAATTTTAAATGACGATCAGTACAGTATTGCTTATATACAAAATTCTTTATTCTTTACGAAAGAATCCAATAACTTAGAACAATGGTTAATAGAAGTTCAAACACAGTTGAAGAAAAAGGAGAATAATTTTAATACTGTTCACTTGTAATTATATAAGTGAATATTACACAATGTAGAACAATCAGATAAACGGTTACCAAGCATAGCAGTACTCTGACATTTGAATGAATTTAATCTATCAAAAGTAATAATCAAAATCGGGAAAACTGTGATCTCGCTCTTTATGATTAAAATCTTATGAAAGTCATAAATTGAATAAGAAGCTATTGTTTACCGATATAAAAAAAGAAGTAAAAATATATCATGTCCATATAACAGATTGTCTACGATATATGATGTACCGAATTAAGCTTCAACTGCACAATAAATTTCGGGAAATGTGTAAAATATACAGATGTCCATTCGAAGGAACGTAAATATTTTATCAACACGTTCAGTGCCACATATGGTACACTCCAATTTTTGTAAGAAAATATTTTTAAAATAAAATTTAAAACAATATCAAAATATATAAAAATGACCAAAAACTTGAATATTACTTAATATTTTATTGAAAAAATCAATACAGTATATTGATTTTTTAATAGTATTATTGATATATTATTGATACTATTTATACACGCAAGATCTGAAAATAATATATATTTACTATAATGCTGATTTCTATCTTCTGTTTTCAAAACATCCGGGTAGTGGGATATTGTGATTGTGAAGGGTAAACTAAATAGTAGAGGATAAAGAATTTTGCATAAAATGATCTCTAGAATTTATTGAATTTTAATGTTTTTGTTCAAGAAAACGGTTGAGTTTCAACCCCTAGTTCCTTTGAGACTATTTTCCTCGTAGTGAGTAGAATACATTGCAATAAAAAATTGATCTTGAAATTCAAGGTCAAGGTCAATTTTGTACGGACTGTTTTTATCAAATTATCGCCGATCCAGAAGTGTAGAATCGCGCTACAGTGTTCTCTGCACATACTTTTTATATATTTTTCCGTTACGCTGATTCACAAAATGTTTAAAAAAATTCACAAACCTTCCCGAAAATATATGCAATAAAGCTTTTTTTATTCTTGATTCTATACTTTGCATGGTTTTTATTTTAAAAATTCCTGGAAATCATCTTATTTTTCAACCTCTAGAGTGGCGTTAGCCCTTAAACGAAAGAAAACGCAGAATTTTTAATCCGGTCATTTGACCGGTACGGTTAGTGTAAAGTACTTACAACGAACTTCATGAATAGCTTCGCTGGGGGCCCTACGAAAGTGTTACCTGCTTGCCCCAGGTATTACGTGCTGTTTACTTTGCGCGTTTCCGAGTTGCTAACAACGTTCCTCAGCAACAGCTTACGGGCGATACCTGCTTTTTATAGCCGGTTATAAAATCGGTCGGAGAACAGTTGTCGCTGTTCGAAGGTATCAGCAATAAATGACATTTGAGACTCACATAAAATCCTAATGTATGCTTTAATTTTTCCTTACTTTTGATAAAATTAATCCTTTATAATTTATATTTACTAAAAACCCAATTTTATTATTAATGTTATAGGTAACGGTACTTTCTTGGCACAAAATAATATGCTTCACTCAAACTTTGGTCAAAATGTTACTGATAAGTGTTCTAATATACGTACATACACTATACTATCTATAATGCTTATGATATTAACAATGCATGTCAATTCTAGTTCTTGTAAAGTAGTATGTGTATTGGAAGTGTAACAAATATTTTAAAATGCCAACATACGTACTATATAAAATAAATTCGTAAAATACTAACAAAGCTTTCTGATTTCACTCAGTATGTAGCTTCGCGCATTTCAAAGTTTGAAGATATGGCAGCATTGTATCAAATACGTTTGTATGCTGATTTACCATATTTAATTGTTTTGGGTCAACTACGATCATTTTGCTTGATGTAGTTTTCTTATTCACCATTTTCTAGGTATAGAGGGCAGAGCAAAATCTGTGATTTTTTACACAGTCGGTAATTCAGGACATGTGACACGAATTCTCGTAAGCTGCAACAACTCAAACGAGTTTAGGAAGTAGTGAACTCTTTGTAGCATATAACATTTAAGGTTTACTTTTTATTTTTTTTATATTGACTCAGATATAATTAATTCTACTATAGCTCACGTTATTTAACTTTTTAATAGAAAGTTAATTTTATATTGTAAGAGTTTTTAAAGTTTTCACACTCTTTGATGAGTACATTTATTTTTCCATGGGCACCAACCCATATGAACCGTTCCTATAAATAACCGTTAAATATGTACAATAACTGTAATAGCGGCGCTCGGGAAAAAGCATTGGCATTTTGTTTGTTTGTTGGTGATGCAGCCAGAGTAAAGAACATGCCACAAATTAACATCGAAATTTTGTTTCCTACACTTTCCTATACATGGAAATTGGTGCTTATTATCGCATGTTTCTTTGTTGGCTAGCCTGAATCCGATCGTGAAACGTGTATTCACAAATGATAAGAATACGTTTAGTAATGAACAATACTAGATAAGTGGAATCGCTAAATAATCATACGTGTAGTTAACGTTGAAAAACCTCGATGAATAGTAAATTAGGTCAAACAGTGACGGAATGTCAAAGTAGGACCTTAAATGGAAAATGGCGAAGATCGTGAAAGGATCTGAACCGTTGAGCACGATTTTGAGTTGTGAATATTGCACTAACCTTTCATTCAAGCAAATAGAAGATTTTGTGAGGTGGGTCGGTTTATTTAATTTTTATTTTCACTGTAAAATTATTTTCATTTTTATTCACATTAAACAGTAATCTAAGCTCTTATTTAATTTACTCTAGTGTATTTATTTCAAATGTAACTATAACCATACAGTTTTTATAGTAACTAATGCATTAAAGTGAAAGTATTTTGCTGAATAGCATTTGTTATAAATGTTATGTAGAATAACAGATTTTATCTGATTTTGCTTCAGACACCTAAGAGACCAGCATTGTGCCATAGAAGGAGGATCTTTTGTGTGCCTCTATGGTTATAATGGAGTATGCGCTAGTCTTCCTGTGGAAGGTGTTTCTGATAAAGATTATGTGACACACGCTACTAAACATGCAGCAATGCAACAGCAGCGTAAAAGCAATGGCCAATTCTCAGAACCATCTTCTTCATGGACTGTATATTCTGCTGCACAGAATTTACCAGCTGTTTTAAATGACCCATTTAAAGGAAAACAGAGTAACTTCTTCACTCGTACTTGGGGAGATGGATTTGTAGAAAAAGTTGATATACCTAAAAGTCCATACCTTCCTGAAATTACCATGCAACATTTCGAGTCATATTTAAAGAAAATTACCAGGGTAACCGATATATTTTTAAAATGAAATATTTATTTTTGAAGACTTAACTTTCTTAATAAAATATTTATTTGTAGAGATTTAGAAAACATTCTCGTATGAATTCAAATGCCAATAGACCAACTACTCCTAATGAATTGTTACAAAATTTTCCAAACTTAAAAAAAGTGAAGTGTTTAGGTAAGAATAATTCTTAATGATTTAAATTATTATTTACTCAATAGAATATCAAATTTTTATATTAAATAAATAATGTTTGTTTATACAGACAGAGTGCAATTTGATTTAACAAACATTCCAAAAATTTTTTTAACACCTAATCTGGATCTTTCTCAAAAGGATAACTTTTATGCTGTATTTCCATTTACAAAAAATGGATTATTGAATGAAGATTCTAATATTGTTATGCATGTAAAACAAATGCAAGAAAAGGTACATTAAAAAGTAAATATGTTAGATAAATTTTAAAAGAAGAAGACAAATAAGATTAAAATTTTTCTTGTAGTTAAGTCACTATTTAGATGTTGTGGAAGTTAAAATAGCTGAACAGGTTGCTTCAAAATCTCAAGCATTTTTTCATGCTATGACTTCTCATGATGCCTTAATGGAGCAACTTACACAAACTATTACTGTTCTGAAAGCTCTTAGAAAGAATATTCATCAAGTTGATAGACATCTAGTCAATGATTCCTTAGATATATTACGGTAAAAATATTTATAATATTATGTTTTACAATTATGTGTTATATTATGTTCAATGTATGTCTTACTTTGATTGTTTTGTTATTTAGATTAGAACAAGCAAGATCTAATCGATTATTAGTTCATGAAAAATTGAAGCTTATGGCCACAGTACATCAAAGTCAACCAATGATACAATTATTATTATCCACTCCAGATTATGTTGCAGCATTAGATCTTATTTCCACAACACAAGAGATACTTTTACAAGAGTTAAATGGGGTGCATAGTTTTAGGTATATTGATATAAGTTGTACAAAAGTAATAACTATTCTAGAAGTTGATATCATTAATTTTTGTTTGTATTTTTAGACATCTAAGTTCTCAGTTAACAGAAATGGAAAAATTAGTAGATAAAATGTTGTCTACAGAATTTCAAAGATATGCAACTGCTGATTTGAACAGACCGTTAGGTGGTGAAAGCAGTGTTCTGGATGGTGTAAGTATACATACAATTTTTGGAAGTGTATACTTCGTTCGTAGCAAACAAACCGTCATCCATCTCTTCCCAGTGAGATCATTTGTACATCCTCAACGAACAGGATAAACTTGTGTCCATCATATCTGGTCTGCTGCGGCAAAAACATTTTCAATTTGTGGATACCTACAAAGAGGAAGCTATAACAACAGTCAGGGCTGTCACAAAGCAGAGAGTTATAGAAGCTTTAGCAGCAAGTGATTGTTGCAGTGATCAACAAGCAGCTGCCCTTGAAGTTGGTGGACTTTCCTTAGCAGAGAGATTGACGCTACTTAATAACACTATACAATCATTGACATTTCTACTTATGCGAGTAAAGGTATTTACCAAAGTTTATAGTTAGTCATAAATGCTCTTGATTATTTATGTTGTCAATACACTGATACATCTTACAGGCTGTTCATGATGTTATGCAAGACACAGTAGACCTTGTAACTGGTCGAATTTGTGACGGTTCGTTTGATGATAGTATTCCTGATCGATTATTAACTAGAGTAGAGCATTCACGAGTGACAACCAAACTCAATGATATGATAACTTCGGTTTGCGATTATTGTCATGAACGAATGGGGAATCTGCTTTCTGCAGGTGCAAATGATAAAGATAAGTCCCAAATTGATAAAGAGAAAATGAATAACGAGAGTGCAAATAATAAACAAGAAGAAAAGGAAGGTCAAAATTGGAATGATAAATCATCTTGGCTAAGTAAAAGGGCAACTACGGCTCAGGTATGCCAGTTAGCTAACTTAGTTGAGGGATTCACAGAAACTTGCGAAAAAGTCTGTGGTAAGCAGTGTACAGCTTTACGATCTGCCTTTAAGGTACAGTATTACTTTTAATAGGTACTTCTACCTGCTTAACTTGCAGTAATTACTTACAATTTTATTATATCGAAGGCACAAGCTAGCAAGTTTATTCAGAGATTTCACACTGAGCTGAAAACAAAGCTTACTCTTTTATTGGAGTCGGAAAGATGGAAGCAGGCTGACGTACCAACTGAGTTTCAGTCTTTAGTAACTTATGTGTACGAAAACAACTGCTTACCAACTTATCAATTTAAGCCCGAAGACAGGGCTAAAGAAGATGTTATTCATAATTTTATTATAATAGGTGACGAAAAATACGCCGTCGTTGCCACGGCTTTAATGCTTATACAAATGATTCACGAATATTGCAGGTAATTCTTGAATTAATAGATTTATTAAAATGCTAGATGTACTAAATTTAATTACAATTTTAGAACTGCCAGTGAGTTAATCGCCTTGTCTGGGACAATAGGAAGGTATTTGGCTGAATTACTACGTCATTATAATTCCCGTTGCTGTCAACTTGTACTTGGCGCTGGCGCGATGCAAGTTGCTGGTTTAAAAACAATTACTAGTACAATACTAGTATTAGCTGCGCGTAGCTTGAAGCTGATTTTGTGGTTTATGCCTTTTGTAAAGGCACACTTTCAATGTAAGTGAAATCGATCATAGGATTTTCGTTTGTAATGATATTTATAGTATTAATGTTGCAATTTTTTAATAGCATTGATAGAACAAAATCCTAGTCGTGGATTTGGTTCGTCTAATATAAGTGGCGGTGTAGCGTTATTGGATAGTGTTGAAAGGCATATTCGAGATCATGTAAAGGGAATTGAAGGCAAGATCCTTACTATTGTTGACAATCTGCTTGGTGGACAAATATCAAAGTGGACTGCAAGACCACCTGTACCATCAGTTTCATTTAGAAACATTTCAAAGTAAGTGTTTGAACATTAATAATCATTACAAAATAATATGACTAACTTGAATATTAGTTAACTATTAGTTCAACAATAAAAATTCTTGATGGATTAGTTAAAATAGTAAAATTAAGAAACTGAATTGTAAGTTAGTAATTTATCCTTTTTTAAACTTTTATTTCATGATTAAATGTTTCTTAATCTTTTTTATGTAACTTTAACCCTTTCACTATGGCGGATTTAGCCGTCAGTATATTGCTGTTTGATAAGTTAGTTCAGACTCCAACCTATACTTTACTGTAAGTCAAAAATGCCTTTGTTGATTATATAAATATTCATTATTTTTTTGTTTAAGTTATTTCAAATCGGCATGACAATTTATAAACAAGTATGTATCGAAATGATTAAATTTGTAGGATAAACACAATCAAATTTATGCCATAACCGAAATTTCGATGTGCGACTATAGGTATCATTCGTAATGAAAAGGGTATACCAACCTTATCAATTTGATTTGCAAATAATACAGAAAGAAAGTAAACATTATATATACCCTTTTCAAAATCACTTTTGTGCAAGAAAAATTTTAAACTGTCAACGCAGAGGTACAAATTTGTGAAATAAATTATTACTTGCAGCTATTTAATAAAGCTACACGAAGCTGTTTCTGGAATTCTGCCTGCAGTCGAAGTACAAATCTTGTATCGTACGGTAAACACATCTTTTAAAGAAAAACTCAGAGAACAGTTAGTTAAAATGAATATAGTGAACAACGGTGGTCCACAGCATGGCATAGTTACGTCTGAACTTACTTTTTATCTCGAAGCATTACGAAAATTAAAAGTGTTGCCTACCAATGAGCTAGATGACAATTGGATGAGTGACATATGGACTAGATAACATGCAGAGCGTGTGATATATTGCATAATAGAGGCGATGAAGTATTGCCGAAAGAGGTGACTAATCTTTCTTATCGTCTTCCTGCGCACGCTTCACAATAGTCCTAACGACTATGAATGTTTCAATGGATTTTTAAGACATGGTGGCTTCTATTGGAATCATACATAACAATATTTCTAATTATTTTATTCATAAGCATTTTTATAAAATGCTGTATCCAATACTTCAGAACCTGGGTAAATAGAAAACTAAAAAAAGGTTTCATGGGAATATGATTTTATATACATTGGTTATTGGCTACATTTCATAAGAATTATAAGTTAGTTATATTATTCTGTCTCCCAAACAATCATTTATTTACGCTATAGTGTTCAAGTACGAACTTTGGTATAATGAGTATGAACTATAAAAAAGAATTCTGCATATTATGTGAACTCTTTTCTTTTATATCTGTGGTATTCAATCATGAAGAGCTCATTTTTATTTAAACATTATTAACCAGGCAATACAGTTTTTAGTATCATTTGTGAAATATTTAATTTAACAGAACATTGCGAGAAAATAGGGTTGGGATAGAAGGACCAAGATTTTAAGTATCAAATAACTTTCTTCTTTACATAAGTGTCCATATATTTTACTCGTATTTTCTAATAATTAAAATTAAAATTTCATCGAAACAATCGGTAATAAACTTCATATTCTAATGTTCATACTCGAACTTAATAGTTCAAATGAAAGACCTAAAAATTGTTTAAAATATGAAAGACGTATATAATACAACTGCTTTTATTGTTGTGTTCACTGCTAGAATTGGACTGATTATAAAGAATGTATCCTCAGAATAAATCTAATAATGATCCTTTGAACGTTTTTATATATCATGTATTACTTATATCAATCTGTTTTTATCGACAGATTATTACACTAGGTTTTTAATAGTAAAGGTGGCTTATTGTAGGACTGCTACTGATGGTGTGTTTTTATCAAACTTTCCTGAACGAATTAGGGAAATAATTCTCTGGAGAAGGAAAAAAGATATAACTCAATTTAATACTACATCACTATAAGCGTTTCGCGTATTTCAAAAAAAGGTTGTGGATTTGAGCAATTCTCTTATATAATTGATTGTAAACTTTTTTTTCATTCCTGTGACCAAAGATAAAGTGATAAGTTATTGTTATCTCATATTACGTTGCTTATATATAATCTTCTTATTTACATTAGCTTCTGTAATGTTTATAATTTATTATAAATTATATTTATATGGTGCATTCCATTATCAACTTAGTCTAGTCTACTCTGTACATCACGGATAAATAACACAATAATCAGTTGTATTTTGAGCCATTAATGATTTGTTAATAAAAAAATTGTACGTTATGGTCCAACAAAGGCGTATTAATATATTTTAAATATTTTTCACTAAATTTTACTATTTAAAACGGTATAATTGATTATTATAAATTATTGTAAAGTGTTTTGTCAAGACTGATGACGTCTTGTTGAATCATCACGCGTTCCATTTGGAGGTAGAGAAATATAACAACTTAGATGTACCATACCTCATTACTTTATTGCATAATGTATTATAAAAATTATATAAAGATAATACCATATAAAACATTTTTATATATTATATTTATTTATTAAGTAAACGTGGGCTATTCTATCAAAAGATACACCGGATATCGCTGCTATAGTAACGAATACGAAAACACTATCATAACCTACGTGAAAACAAAAAGTGTTCTCATTTATTATCATACATTTCATGCGTGTCTGAGAATAGTACATTGAAAAATAATGGCTAAGAAGAACTCGTATGTATTTTCTTATATTTACTTTAATTAATAGCATTATATATGGTGGATAAAATTTCAAAATTTTGCTCTTGAGGTGGTAGCAAGTGGTTCGTTTTTAATATTGTTTGCAGTAATAAATTAAATCCTTTTTTCTGCGATTGCAATTATTTTATAGTGAAGAAAATATAAGAGATGCAGCGTTGCGGCTTTGTTTAGAAGAAGAACAACATCGTAAGATTGATTCAAATGAAACACATGAACGTTCTATTATCATTGTTGGTACTAAGAAGGTTGTACGTAATTATAATCGAATATATAT